AGTCGCGCCGCGGAGGTCCGTCGTTCGTTTCCGATTCAACGTTACCCTCCTATCCGCGTTCTTTACAAGCTTCTCTATCTGACACCCCGTATCGTCCGGAGCATCGTCGTCGTCAACCGGGGGGGTTTTTATGTTTATCGGGCTCTTCGCTGGAAAGACGCCCGTGGCACCTCTTCGATTTTACTTGAATAAATTTCCCCCGTGGATCGTTCAAGATCCATCAATTGAAATTCACTCGCGGTATCGCGATATCGCGTGCGTTATGACGATTGACTCCATCAGTTCCAAAAGAGAACATGAATACGTATCCTCGGATGTTATGACTTGTGATTTTACATATGTGTAAATTATTTGTCCGTTTAACCTATCTCGAGGCAGATTGTATAAATATGAATAACTCAGTACACGTTATTCTCGCGCTTATCATCGTGTTTTAACATCTCGGTTATACCTTGTCAAATAGACATTCAGATATCAGCACCTTCCTGCAAATGTCAACCAGTTCTTGTGCAGTTCTGTTATATCCTTCAGCAATGTTTTCGCGACGAAGCTTTTTACCGCTGTCGAGAGACATCGCTGATCACGCTATTACTTGCTCCTACGTGTTCTTTGCGCATACAAATCGGGTCGTAAGATGCGTGGCACCAGGTGTTGTGATCTTTACTCGCTCATCGGATAACCGTTCACGGCCGCTTTAATCCGAGAACACGCGTTTTTTTTTTCCCAGGCCCGAACGACGATCAATCCATCGATCATTGACTCGCGGCGCGATGCGTGCGATATCGGTTTTTCGCGACGCGTGAGCGATGGGTCGAACAATTCAGGTACCTGAAACGACAACCAGTGTGCGAGTCGAGAATCCCGGTGTAACTTTCCGCAAACTCCTCGAGGATGTCAGGACGTCGACGCAAAGCGATGCGACGTTCCACGGCGCACATGCAGTGTTTAAATATCCACAATATATTCATCGACGAATATATTTCCCGCTTGTCTCGCTCGCTCGCGACGAGTGCAATGTGGGTAGGTCGTCGCAGGTAGATCGGCGACGATCGCTCGTCCACTTTATCGCCAACCGGTTCTTATGGTACGTATCGAGTAACGGATGTTCGCGCGAAACTTTACACCAAACCGGGTGTAAATAACGTATAATTACGTGAGCGTCGCGAAAGGAGGGTACGCGAGGAAGAGTGTCTCCGCTGTTCGCGTGCCGAGGTGTTGAACGTAATCGAGAAAAATTGATACGATTATTTTTTCTGACGCTTGATATCTGCCTCTCCTCCAAAATATCCATAAATATAAATCCGAACGATACGCGGAATGATACGCGATTCTAGTTTTGAAACGAATGGCTGGCGTGCGAGGGATGATAAGGCGGCGATCCGAGCGGCACGCGAAATTTCGTATCAAACGAATGAAAAAAAAAATGTTTCGTTATGTTGCTTGGTATAAGCAAAGCAGCAAAAATCACAGCTTTGTCCTTAATCCGTAATATTCTTCGATCTTGATGCCCGACGTTTCCGTCATAAGAACGATTAATCAATGTAGAACACACGATAGTAATGAATGTGATTTACTTGAAAGTTTCAGGAAAAGTATTGTCGTGTCGTAACGCGAATCCACCCTCCGCGAACGTTCCCTCATCGGGAGGTATCTGCGAGAGAAATCACAGTGATGGCAATTAGCGCGCTCGTGGTGCGGACGAGGTAACGAAAAGCTAATGCGTCGATATATCGGCATGTATACGGCGTACGAATAATTATTGCCTTCGTCGATCGCTACCGGCACGTCGCGCGCTACATAATACTACCTCGAAGCCTCGCTACTTTAAAGGAAACAATGGCAACGACGAAACCAGTGATGCTTAAACACATAATACTTCGATTCCTTTTCCTATATTTTTTTTATACTTAAATGCGTATTCCTACATAATTATCCTCATACAGAATTATAAAATAATAAAATATTGCAAAATTGCAAAATTCATGTTTTTTTGATAAATTAAAGAATTCCATTCCATTCGATACTCTTTACATCACTGGTACAAAAATATAATAAAAAATATAATATAACATAATACAACATATTACAAACATAATATAAAAAATATAATAAAATGGTATTCAAAGAGAAAATAATAGAAAATAATAGAAAGACTGACAAAGAAAACTCTGACAAAATTTTTTTTAATATCACATCTTTTTCGTTATATCAAAAAAATGTGATGAAACAAGTTATAAGGTTTCATTTGCAAAAAAACATCGTAAGGCATCATTGCTCAGCACCTTGCGAAGGTGATATAGTTGCCGCTGCGGTTTGCACGGTTGCGACTGGCAAGCAGCAGCTTCGATGCGATCGCATCGAGTAACTCAGCTCCACCGTCTGGCTTCCTCTCTCGGGGACTAGGACTGAATTATGGCCCGTGGTCGCGGACACTCGCCAACACGCTTCGTCGTTTAACCCTTTGCCCGATCCGAAGTCCCGAAGCGCATTCTTGCCATCGCCGGCTTTTCCCTCGAACTCCCTGGAATCTTACGATTTCTGGGAGAGAATGGTCGGATGTATGGTTATGCATCCGGCGAGGGACCGGTTCCTTCGCCTTTAAGCGCGACGCGAATATCGAGCATATTTTTAAATCAAGAGAGAACTTTTATATATATATATATATATATATATATATAAT